CACCTGCTTCCAGGAAGTGCTGCAAAGATTTAACATAGGAAGAGGCAGGGAAAGGGTGAAGATATACAAAACAGGGTAAGACGGAGGAAACAGGGGAGGGCAGATGGGATGAACTTGGAATCGAAGGAAGATGGAAAGACTTTTTACCCACAACCCAGCATGATTGCCAAGGAATCCTACTATTTATTATCATGTCTGTCACTGACTTTTTGCTTCTTATACACCACCAGCCTCATTTATTACTTCTTGGTAACCTTCTGCTTTCTGTTTTTTGTTTTACAGCTCAGACTGTCTTTGGCAGGGACAAACAAGCAGAAAGGGCAGCAAAATGAAAGCCGATGACACTTTGAGCTACAGGACAAGTTCAGTCAGTCTGTCTGTCAGAGGAGGAGGAGCAGAGAGGGAGAGCTGTTGAATGGCCGTAGGTGTTTACTAAGTTTAATTCAAGGTTTATCATTCATCTCACAGACGATGAAGCATCTCAGTGTGTTCTCACAGTACCTCTGTTTTGCAAGATGTCAGAGAAAAGTAAAGAATAATACAACAGGTGGCCAAAACCCAAACAAGCATGAAGATATTGGCAGAATATCAAAGTTCATGCTCAATCATCCAGGTACAAAACCCAGTAATGTTTAATCAGGTCATCTGGACAGTTTTTTTTTTATTTTTATGGAAAGATGTTTCACCCTCTATCCAGAGGGCTTCATCAGTCTGAGGAGTCCCAAGTAAATTGTTTTCCCCAATAAGCAGTACGCTCCTTTAGTGGACCAACCAGTTTTCTGGTGATAAGACGGTTTCAACAATCTTATCACCAGCAACTGGTTGGTTCACCCCTTCAGTGGAAAAACCAGTTTACTGGTGATAAGATGGTTTCACTGGTTGGTCCACTAAAGGAGTGGACCAACCAGTTTGCTGGTGATAAGATGGTTTCAACAATCTTATCATCAGCAAACTGGTTGGTCCAGTAAAGGAGCGTACTGCTTGGTACTGCTTTGCGTACTGTCGTTCATTACAACTTCGTCTCTTCCTCAACCTGGTCAGGACGCTTGGATTTACATTTCAAGCCGCACTGCAGCTGGGTGGTACAGTGGTGCAGTGATTAGAGCTGTCGGTCAGGCAGAAGGTTGCATGTTCTCACACACAAGTTTTCTTCAGGTACTCTGGTTTCTTTCCACAGGCCATAAATGTGAATGTTAGGTTAACTGGTAACTAAATTGTCCATAGGTATGAGTGAGAGAGTGAATGGTTGTTTGTCTCGCTTGTCCCTACGTGGCCCTGTGATGGACTTTCTACCTGTCCGGGGTGTACCCAGCCTCTCGCACAGTGACTGCTGGACACCAGCTCCCTGTGACCCAGAAAGGAGAATTGGGTAAAAAATGGACGGCTGGCCTCAGGGACATTCAATTTACCAAAACAAATGTCGTCAATGCCTCAAATACTTTGTAGGTTTATAAAACGTGTGCACCCGCTAATATTTACACAACAAAAAATACAGCAGCACCAAATATAATGTAATTTTTAATACATCATTGTTGTGATAAAATGCATTTTAAGCAGCCGTAAACATAATTAAGTGCTTCATAACCCAACAATGCAGTTTTGTTGCTTATACTTCTTTCGCTTTTTGTTATCACGTAGTTTAAGTGAAACTAATCTTGTTGTTTTGTCACCTGAACTTAATCAAATCATATTAAAAAATAAAACGTAGCACTCCTTGAAGAAATGCACATCACCCACCACCTTGCATTTGGAAGTTTTAAACGAAGATCCCCTGCAGTTTATTTGCACTTGGATTATTTGTTACTCACATGTACTAAAACACTGCGCGCTGACGACAGTGAAGTCAAACACTTTGAGAAGACACAAACGTGAGAGCAGGGCTTTCTGAGCAGACCATAGTTTGTACTGAGTTTAGAAGTCCAAGCCAAACTGTGTCACTGCTCGAACGTTTGGTTGTGGTGTAAATGTAGCCACTTTAACGACACAAATAACGTGGGGAAAAAAAATACATAGAAAATTTGGACAGTAGAATGAAGCTTTAGTCGGAGAGGAATGATGAGCAAGTGTGAGGTGAACTGCAGAGTCGCTGCTGGTGTTTGCAGTCGGCTCTGTCAGCCTCGAGTGTTTTTCAGCCTTTGTGAGTGTGCGTAGGCTTATGTTTTTGTGTGTATGGGGGGGGTGTACAATGCACACTGACAGCTGGCTTCTATAAATAAAAGTCACAGGTGGGAGGGGTGAGACCCTGAGATGGATGGAGAGGGGATGGAGGAGCTGAGAACAAAAACATATTAAGGAGGAGAGAGTTTGTGGGAGGAGACAGACAGTCGGGGGGAGGGCAGATAGAGAGGAACTGATACAGATGCACTGACTTCTTCAGAGAATGTGAGTTGTGCACGGCTGTACTCTGGTCAGGACTTACAGACCCATCTCATCCAATCAGTTGTCCCAGCTCATGTGCCCCCTGCAGGGCAGCTGTCCTCCCTGCTTGTGTCATGAAGGCCGCAAAGACCGTTGGTGTCACATTTTATCTCACATCTGTCAGTTTCCTTCCTTGTGATGTTTTTGCTTCTCTGATATGACTCAACAAGGAATTAATTAAAACAGACAAACAAGAGCAGGAGGGCTACGATTAAACACAGGAAGGGATGGCCAAGGAGGTAAACTTCAAAAATGGGTTGGAGACAAGATTCAGTTTTCTGTCTGTTATCACACAAACAGATTGAATTCTTGTTCCTTAGCAACTCAGTCCATGAATTTGTCATGCGGGCCGTCACTGATCCCGCTCACATCGGGTCATGCTTAATGACAACTGGTTGAGATGCAGTGTATCGTCGACACAAGCAACTTTTACTTTGCTGCCTTCAGTTACAGCTTCTCTGCTTTCTACACTGGTGTGTGTGTGTGTGTGTGTGTGTGCGTGCGTGCGTGCGTGCGTGCGTGCGTGCGTGCGTGTGTGTGCGTGCGTGCGTGCGTGCGTGCGTGCGTGTGTGTGTGTGTGTGTGTGCGTGCGTGCGTGCGTGTGTGTGTGTAATTCTGTTTATGAGACACTGTGCTGGGTTTGGTTTCCTGTCTTGCAAAGAACCACCAAACAACAGCCTGTCTTACTACCTGCTTGCTAATATACCTGTTGTGTATTTTATTGTCTGCTTTGTGTCTTCTTCACATGTTTGCCCAATTTATTCATGTCAAATTGACAACGTTGTTTTGGTTATTGGACTTTTTTTTTAACATTCATCTCCTGAAAGTTTGTCTTTATAGCTCAGAAGCTTTACAAAAGAGACTTCAGAAAGAGTCAAAACGTGAGAAGGTCAGAGAGGTGTAGAAGGAGCTATCATTGCCCCATTAGTGATGGTTGGAGGTTTATCATCAGGCTACATCTGTACCTAAAAAAAGACTTCTTTTTTGCTTGCAAACCATAAGCAGACTTGTGAAAACGTTATTGTGATGAGGTGATTACAGTTTATGTTGGGCTGTTCTTCTGTTTTTCTGTGGATCCATACAAGTCGGTCAATGAGAAACCATCAAACGCTGATCAGTAAACGCGTGCAGCAAAATGCACCTAAAATGTCTGCAATCTGCAAATCATTTGAACTCTGCTGAGGGGAGTAGCTGCCTCTAAGAAAGAAATCATGTTGCACTTATCAGAGTAATCTGTATTTCACAGGAAGATTTTTTTTTTATAGAAATTGCTCAAAAAATCAATATATAATGTACCATCACAGATCAATATAAAGACTATATCAATATATAGATTACTGTGCAGAAATTATTATTTTACTGAGAGGAAAAATGTGGTGAAGTTGTAGTTATTGAACTTTTCCTGAATGCATTTCACAAACTTACACTTGGACATACAACTTAACATGATGCAGCTTCCTTTTGTTGAATCATGTTGAGCAATTAATTTAATTTAGATGACGTCTATGGTAGTTCGATAGTCAGTTCTGCGATTTTGTAATCCTGAAATCGCAGGTTTGAGCCAAAATTGAGTCAAGAAGGGCATATTGCCAAACGTTTCATGCGAGTTCGCCCCTGATGAAGGGGGCAGTTGAAAGAAAGTGCAATTTAATTCATTTAGAAAACACTTTTATCCATTTTTGATTTACCGTATGGACACGATGGCGAGCCATCCCATCATCTTTATGTGAACTGATGGACCAAAGAAGATGACACTATCTACATCATATGAGCAGATTTTGGTTTTAGATTTTAGTTTTAATTTGTAAATATATATAAATAAAACTTTTCATCGTTGTGTCCATCATACAGCAACAAATATACTGACTGATGTGACAAGAACTTTTATATCTTCATCTAGTTTAGTTTATTTTATGTTTTTTGGGGAAAAAAGAAGCGTTCACCCTTTTCTTGATGTCTTTAATTTATCACTCCTCCCTTTTTGCCTAATTTCTGTCCTCATTTTGTTGCTTTACTTCATTGTTTTCATATGATGTAGATACAATATTAAACGAGCTGCACATCCAACATAAATGACTGCAGTCTGATCCAACAGTCAACCTCATAAAATATACATTTATAATGACGAATAGCTTTAATTTGAAAAGGCGCTGAACTACAGAGATAAACTGAGTCACGTTAGTTTTTGGACATCCCACTTATGAATCAGAATAGAGTAAATATTGGAAACACTTTTTTCTCTCGCTCATTTCTTTCAAAGAACAAAGATTAAGTATAATCTTCATAAGCCAGGCTTGACTGTGTTTGTTTTAAGATAATCTTCAAATGTCATCTGAGTAAATTATTTGAAGTTGAAAATTGTAATTTTTTTTCTTCCAGCTTTTTAATGATATTCATTCAAGCTTTATTTAGACAGGTAAATCCCATTGAGCCTCGAGGACTCATTTACAAGAGAGACCTGATATTGTAAAAACAACTCATTACAAAGAATGTCATAGCAGGTACTTTATTTCTTTGTGGAGATTTTTGCCCTCTGTGTCTGATTTTTAATTTTTTTTATTTTTTGTGCTCTGTCTCTGCAGCCACTTGCACGGTGGTTCAGGCTGCTGCCCAAAGATGCTGCCAAGATGCCGGAGAGCACGTGGAAGCTGGTCTTCTACACCATGTCGTGGTCCTACAGCAGCTACTTGCTCTTCTTTACTTCCTACACCATCTTCCATGACCCTCCTTCTGTCTTCTACAGTAAGGCATTTCACATTACACAGTTTTTTTGTTCAGCGGAATATCTGTATTTCACAAAAAAACAACAACAATCTTTCAGTTGTTTCATGTCCATGAAGCTACTCCATTTCTTGGGAGCCGATCACGTTAGATAAACCTCAGGTTAGAATTCTTATCTAACCTTTCAGGGCAGATAGGACGCTGAGGTTATTTTACAGAGTAACTCAGTCAAGACTTTGTTGGGGATTGAGAGCCACTTTGATTACACAAATAGGCGATTTACATACACTGCGAGCCGTCTGTTGATTTTATACTTGTTCTGAGCTTTTAATATCTCACCCTTCCTGTTGTTCTGCTCTAAATTTGGTCCACCATTACCTGCAGAGGATATACCTTTATTTAAATTATTTCTTTATTATAATTACCAGTTGCAGAACACATTAGGTCTCATGCAACACTCATTTACAACACAAGATTATAATTGTAGCTAATGGAGACCAGTCATTATAGACTTGCTGATTGCTAATGGAGGATGGATGTTCTCCGGAGATTTTACAAACATTACAGTCTTTTATTGTCTCCCAGCATGTTCCATCAGACGCGGACGTGTCGGCGCTCACAAAGGGTAGCTGGCAGCAGCAGGTTCATCTTTAATGGCTATGTCACCATTAATAGACTCCACATCAGTCAAAGATGTGGAGATGCGCCAAATAATTGAGCTTGACTGTTATAGTGAGGGAGACGAGAATGAAGCTTGAGAGAATGAAAGAACGACGGAGCCATTGGAACAATTGGGAAAATTCAGAGAAATGAAAGTGATATGATTGTGGTGTTTCCATATCCAGAAGAAAAGGTGGGAAAATGTAAAGTCTGCAGGAGAACGAATGAGAGGCCTCTAAGGTTCCCATGCCTTGTGTTGGCAGCTTTTCCACTCCACCTAACTGGCCTTGTCTTAATGTTTAATGATGCAAGGACCAATCAGTAAACAGTACACGAAGCCTGGAAGAAACTCCATCTCAGTGGAGAGAAACCTTCAAACGTCGGAGGAAAAAGTTTCCGTCTAACATCTGATAGGTCTCAAAGGCGTGAGCCAGCCTGCCCGTCCCAACATGCATTCAGCTTGTTTTAAGCCTCCTGAATGCTACAGAGGGTAAAACCTGATCCTTCCAGCTTTCCTCACATACGAACAACCCCAGCTGACCCTCCTCATCCAGTATCACCCACTAACATTACAGCATCTAGTTTACTATGTGGTGCTTTATGTCCTGATGGGTGCATAAACAATGATCATATTGTAAATAAAACAAGCTGACCTTCTGCAGAAACTAAAGCCGTGGTCTAATTTATGCTTTAATGTACCACAAATTAACATGTAAAGTTAGAGTAAAATGCGAAAGTGAAGTTAGGATATTTGTTTGGCAAATTCATTTAGATTCCCTTTTCTAAATTACCTTAAACCGTTTGAACCCAAATTAATAACAGCAAGAATAAAATAATGAATTGGTTAAAGCTCTTTGTTTTAGTTCTAAATACAAATTTAAATTTGAATTTAATCAACCATTCGATTAACCTCCCCTCCCACCGAGGGGCCCAGACTCTTTGGATTATATTCTGACGTCGTTCTTGGCCATCTTCGCCCCCCCACTCCCCTAGGTGCTTGTTGTGCAAGGTTTTTTTTTCATTATCAAGCTGTTAACTTTCAGCCAAAGATTAAGAGCATGTTAGGAATTTTTTTTTTGTCTCCAAACCCTATGTGTCATTTTCACCACTTTGTATTGTCTGTTCAAACAGGTCTCACTTGTAAATGAGTCTTCGAGGCTCAATGTGACTTACCTGTTTAAGTAAAGGTTGAATGAATGAATGAAATTTAAATTTAATCAACCGTTAGATTAACCTCTTTTTAAATAATGCTCTAAAATCCAATTAGATCTGATATGCTTTTTGGTTGTCTGTTTTTGAAATCAAATGTCTTTTAGAATTGTATAAATCTGAACGTTTTTAAAACACAATAACATTTAGGTTTTAGTTTATGGTGATTATTATTATTAATTTTCTTTGAGGTATTTTTTAGGTAATTAAAGCTTAAATGATGTGTGTTTTCATTTTGACAAAATAATCAGCTTAAAACAACAAGTTTGATTAGATTTTAATTTTTAGTCTTGTGACTGCAGACGGACTTAGGGGAGTGGTAGTGCAGAGGTTAGAGAAGGTGAGCCTGTGATCGGAAGGTCGCCGGTTCAACTCCCAAACTGACAACATCAAAATGTGGGTGGAATAGATGAATCGCTTACACCTGCCTCCACCCTCATTTGCCCCACTCTGATCCCTTAAGCAAGGCCCCTAACCCCCACCATCTGCTCCCCCAGGCGCCCTAGATAGCAGCTCTCTGCTCCACACAGAGGGATGTGGTAGCTCGGTGGTCTGTGGTTGCATCAGGAAGGGCACCCTGCGTAAAAACAATCACCAAGTCAGTTCTCTGTGGTGACCCCTGAAGAAGGGAGCAGCCAAAAGAAAAAAAAGTTGTGACTGCAGATGATAGATTTGTGCAAAAAATGACTGTGTTTTTTACATTTGATCATAATTTTATAGGACACTTTTATTTTAAACAGCATTTAAATGAATGGTTCATTGGACCGTGACTCTGAATTATCCAGACACATGTATTTGTTGAAGTACTTTACTACTCGACACGTCCCTCTTTATGCAGAGCTGACCCTGCCCTTCATTTCTCTCGTCCTCCCTTGTTCCTTCAGACTGGAAGAGTGGTATGACAGTGCCTACAGACATCGCTATAGCCTACCTGATCCAGGGCAGCTTCTACGGCCACTCCATCTACGCCACAATCAACATGGACACATGGAGGAAGGACTCCGCAGTCATGGTGGTCCACCACATCATCACACTGGCACTCATATGCTTCTCTTACGCCTTCAGGTTTGTTGTGCCGTTTGGCCAAACATTATATTGCATTAAATTCACCACATAAACGATTATGTGTAGTAACGTATTCTGCTATCATTAAAGCTCACGCAGGATCTAATTTCATTTTGTTGCTTGACTGATCTTCCAGAAATTGAACCAAGGATTGCAAATGAACCATTTTATTTAGCTAATTATATACCAGTTAAATGCACGGTTGCAACACCTGGACGATATGTCTGATTCTTTCCTCTCAAAGCAAACTGCATCACGTAAGCAGAAACACACATTTAGATTGTGTCCTCCTACCTGCAGATATCACAACGTGGGGATTCTGGTGTTATTCCTGCACGACATCAATGACGTCCAGCTGGAGTTCACCAAGCTCAACGTTTACCTGAAATCCAGAGGAGGCGGCTATCACCTGATCAATGACATTCTGTCCAACATGGGCTCTGTTAGCTTTAGTATCACCTGGTAAGCTGCTATATTTGACCCGTCTTCTGTGGTTCTTCAGTTTGCCCTCCCATGTTTGGTTGCTGTCATGGTAAATGTTTTATAACTCCATCATTTTGCTTTGCTTCCTGTTACTTATGAAGATATCAAAGATCATGTTTCAGTTTTGGCTCTGTTTTGTTTCTGCCTCATCTTTGTCAGGTTCTGGTTCCGCCTCTACTGGTTCCCTCTTAAAGTGCTGTATGCCACATGTGTGTCCAGCATCCAGTCCGTCCCCAACATCCCCTTCTACTTCTTCTTCAACACTCTGCTCTTCGCCCTGCTGCTCATGAACATCTACTGGTTCTTGGTGAGGACAATCTGGTTTCCTATTCAAACCCAGAAATATTTCTCTTTTGTCTGACTGAAACTAAAACTTCATTTCTCCTGTTTTCTTCCTCTTCTTGTTGTAGTTTATTGTGATTTTTGTAGTGAAGGTGCTAAAGATGAAAGAGGTGAACGATGTTAGGGAGTATGAAGACGAGGACGGCAGAAAGTCAGAAGCCGAGCTGCTCCAAGACAAAGATGATGCTGGACATCACAACTCTGCTCAGAGGTGAGCTGCACTTTTAGTTTACTTCTTTGTGGCTTTAAAAATTACCAGCTGCCGTGGATGTAGAATTTCAAAGTCAATAAATCTTTGGTTTTACAAAGTGAAGGCATCAGCAGCTTTAACTGGCATATCTTATTCAGTGCAACAGTTCTTAGCTCATGTAGATTTGAAGAGTTTGGATTTGGTTTCAGTTTATTCAACCAGAAAAACATTAAATTGTATGCCAAATTTGCTATAAGGCTATGTTCACACTAAATGTAAATGCAACCAAAATCCTCTGAGTTTTTTTGCACCTATGCAACCCATATTGGATTATTTCATGACAGTCGGAACATGACAAATCAGATTTTGTTTTTAGTTGACTCAGACTGCAGCCTGAATGGTCAAGATGAATTTCATCTGACTTTTATTTCAGGGAGGTAGGGGTAAGCAGAACAATCCAAGTATTAATAACTATGATAACAACCTCGTGCAGTTTAAATCTTGGGCCTCTGCACGTCTTCAGCTACAGAACAGAAGTCCAGCTGTTTTGTCCATTGTTTTGTTTTGTTCAAGCTGTATTTTAATTTTCCATGGAACAACATATAATATGTGGGAGCGTATCGATACTAACGTGATGTGATCGATACTAGAGTTTGTTTCTGCCTTCAGTGCCCTGTTCCAAAAAAACAGGAAGTAAATACCAAACTTTCATACCAGCTTCATTTATAAAGCATTTTATTCAGCCACAGGACCAAATCGCTGAACAGAATGGTTAAAAATATTTTTGTATTATAAAATATATATATTGGTTTTGGCTAACCTGACATTATTTTCTATAAGTGAACAAAACAGCAGAATTCATATTCTGAACAAACCATGGTTCAGTTTGGCCCAAATTAAGACCACGTCTTATCAGCTGGTCCTGATCAGTTGGGTCCACGGCACCCTGAAATTCTCACAGAGATTTGTACATTAATTCTTTCTTCAAGACAAATGGTGTCGGTTTTACAAACATGATGAATAGGTTGAAAAAATATATAAAGTTTGATCTGCAGCCAAGTGCTCAACTAAACCTGCAACCTTTTGTCTTGTTTTACTTTGCTTCCTAGATAAACATCAGAACGACACGGACAGAAATCACTCAGTTCCTCTACAGAGATTACAAAGATTATATTTTACACAGTTGAGCTTTTAAAAAAACCTGGTGTCTGCATATTTCAAAAGTTAGATTTAAACAAGAAAATGCTGACTGAAACCAAAAGATAATGGTTGTTTTATCTTAAATTGCATTTAGTCATGCGGCTGACAGCCTTTTGTGCATCGCTATCGTTGTAACCTTTGACCCCAGCAGATTTGAATGGTTTCAGTCCCTTCCTGCTGTTCAGAGCGTTCACAGAAAGATTCCTAGATATCATACTGGAATGTAATTCAAAGATCAATGGCTGCAGTGAGTGAAACGATCTGTTCCTGGTGGAGTTTCTTCACCTCTGCAGGCAGAACAAGAGGTCTGTAAAAGCTGCAGAACAAGCCTGAGAGCGTACAGAGGTGATGATGTGGCGTTCCTTATCTGCCCGGCCTTGAATACCTCAGATAACCTGATATCTAAAAATGTCTAACATCTGTAAGCTCGCCCCCTCCCACCCACCTTCTTATCTCTCTGTTGTGTTTTTTTTTTTTGCAGGAAGCACACGCACAATGGTGTGACCAAGGACAAGCATCTATAACAGGCTCTCCATCGCCACCGCTTGGCACGTGGGAGACGCCAACACCCTCCTCCAACATGTGTGTATGAACAGAAGAGCACCAGGAAAAAAATATATAGAAAAAAAGAAGGGAAATGTATTTTTTTTCTGATTTTTATTTGTTTTTAGAGCATTTCGTTTTCCATTTAATTTGATTAGAGCACTGTGAATGTTATTTCAGCAGACTTTTTGTCTTACAGTTGTTCAGTAGAAACAAATGTGTCTGAGTGAGGGCTGGACTCTGACTTCACCCCTAACAAGGAAAGGCTTAGACCCATACTGGCTCTACACAGACATCCTTTTTGTTCATACGGGGGAAACCAGCAGCAGCTCCTTCTGTTAGCGGGGGTTCCTCTCTTCTCCTCTTCAACCTCTGTTCATCCTCTATGACTTAAGATATGGAAAGGTTTAAACACCAATGCTGCTTTGATTTTTACGCAGAGTACAAAATCAGCGACGGTCACCACACGATTCTGGCCTCCTGCATTTTTTTAACTGAGAAGCCAGTTACAGTATTTGCATGTTTCAGAATGTCCAAAGCGTGGCTGCAGCTTTTAAATTAACAAAAAACGAAAAATAACTCATTTATTTTGTAACATTTAATCCAGAGGTTGACTCTTGAACGACGATCCACAAAAAGTGGAGCATTCACTTGGCGTTCCTACTGTTTAATCATTTTGTTTGTGCTGCAGAGCGTCTGCCGCTGCACTGATATGAAGGCATACAAGCTTGTTGCTGGTTTGATGACAGCAAGAAAGCTAGAATTGATTGACTGGGTGTAAGTAAATTAATTTGTTTGTAAAAAGAATATTTATATATATATATATATATATATATATATAACATGTTTTTAACCAGGTCATGATTGGGAAAGACTGCCCACATATAATAAATGATAACAATCACAAGTAAACATCACACATGCTCTGAATGCATGATGTCAGAATGATTTGGGTAATTTGTCAAAAGCCCTCTAGTTCAAATTAACCTTTTATTTTTCTCTCAATCTAATTTGACAGTGATCACTTTGATTTTCTTGTCTTAAAAATGTGTGGCTCCTAAACACAGATCTAAGTCTCACACTCGATAAACAGGGAGAGGTGAGTTTAAACTACCGGGGAATGGAAGGATTATTTGTAGGGATGCACAATATTGGAATTTTGGCCGATGCCGATATGTTAAAACTTTTTGGGCCTGTAACCGATACCAATACCGATATTTTCACCCCAGACCTACTTACAGTGACTACATAGCTTTCTCTGCTGTGGAATTAAAATACCACATTATTCTGTATTGTCTTTGTCTGTTTGGTCTGCTACCAAATGCTGATGCCAAGAAGGGGTCTGAAAATGATGTAATACTTCAACTTGGATTATGTTTCATGTCAAATGTATTCATGACATTTACTCTCTAACACAATGACAACACTCAAACAGTGCAAATTTGTAAATTTTCACAAATCTAAACTCAACTTCGCACGTGACGTCATAATGTGCTGGCGCTGCAGGCATCCTTGTCACTGGGTTGTCAAACAAAAACAGTGCCTTTTATATCGGTGAGTTATTTTGATGGAATGTCTGATATTTAACTTTATCGCTAATATCGGCTGATACCAATGCCATGCTGACAATATCGTGCATTCCTAATTACTTGGCCATTTCACTGCATGTGTGTTCAAACAGCTTCTGAAAATAAGGAGCGCTTCTCTCCGTTCTACCTTCTCAATCAAATTCAAGCCTTTGTTTGGATGAACAGCATGCTTGTGCTGCTTGAGCGGGCCGCAGATGTTAGCTCACAGGAAAAAGGGCGCCCATCTTTAGTTTTGTCTTCCAGAGTCCACAAATCAACGGTTCAGGAAAATGTAGACAAACTTTAGAACTTTAGATTCAAACTTTTACTGTTGTTGATTTTTGTTTTTAAATTGCTGCTTTTTTTTTAAGTGAGAGCACTGTTTATACTCCAGAAATGTTTTTATTTATTTATTTTTTCCTGTCGAGTACAAGTCGGTGCTCAGATCATGTTTTTTCAGGGACCAGGTTCAAATCCGTCTCCAACATCTGGATTTGGATCTGGATTTGTGCTCATTCAGACTGTAACCCCTGTACACCTGTACTGTATGCCACACGGTCGATGCAACACGTTCCAGTTTGAGACTGGATGTGCTGACAGGTTGATCGTAGGTTGATGGACGTGACATTTACAGTAAACCGGACAAGACGTGACTCATACCTGAAGTCTGTCGTAGTACTGTGTGCAACGTTCAGACCCGAGTTTCACTACAACAAATACTGCAAACACCACAGTTTTAACTCCTCTGGGGATTTTTGACGTCTGTGGACATTTTTAATCAATAAGCTTCTTTTACTTTTCTTCCAGTCTGAAGTATTTCTGTTAATTTACCCCCAAATAAAGCTTTAATGTGGAGTTCAGTAGGAAAGTATTCAAATGCCTGGCAAAATTTTAATCATGCATCTGAATAAGAACTGACTTCCAAAGTTGACCCAGAATCATACAAAAACACATTAAACTTCCACTGTTAATGTTTCACCCTGCCTTTGTTAAAACCTGTCAAACACTTGAAACATTTAATTATTGTTAATTTAATTATTCGTTTTAGCTTTGACGTTGACACTCCATGTTGAGCCACACGTTAAATCAGTGGTCTCAACCTTAGTCCCTGAGGAACACCATCCTGCATATTTTTGTTGCTCCAGCACACCTGATTTGTTTGCAAGGGTGATTAACAGGAAGTAATTAAACCACTGAATCAGGTGTGTGGGAGCAGAGAAACAACAAACATGCAGGATGGTGTTCCTCAGGGACCAGGGCTGGGAACCACTGCGTTCTGAGTGATAATTCAAGTGTTTAAAATCAGTTTACTCATTCAGCCTTGTCCCAGAAAAGGCAATGCATTCGAAATGTTTTTTATTGTTGGTGTAGGCACTGTTGTGGGTTTCTATACAAAAAAGATCAGCTAAAAATGCCCAGGTGAGCAGAAAAGCTGTAAACCAAATATTTTTTATGTTTGCACACCTAAAATCCAATCAGCGATGAGACCCATCAGCAGAAGTAGTCAGCTGTTTATCTGACAGAAATTATCTTTTTTTGCTTCGACTGTGGCGACGTGTTGAAGGAAGTTAGGGTCTAGACTGAATTTTGGATAATTTTATTGACTTTGGTGAGCAACATATTTGCAGAATCACTGAAGTCAAACAGCAGGCTGATTGCAAGAACTCCAGAAGACTCGTGCTGAAATAATGACCACTCCACATTCTCAGAGCGTCACTTTTAGTAAAAGGAAAAGGCGAAATTTGCAGAGGAAGTGTGATTTTCTGCATGAGTCCTCATCTTTCCTCAAAGTTTCTTCTTCAATGCTTCAATTGTGCCAAAATGTCCACCAAAACCACATTTTTCTGAGAGCTGGTGACTGAGCTGGTTTGAGTGACGGGCTTTAAAGTCCTGCAGGTATTTCTCACATTGCACTGTAATTATTAGTATTATTTATATTGTTTATCTGTAGATCAGAATTAAAGGGGAGATTTGGGTATTTATTAATAATGATGATTAAATGATCACCTAAATCTTTGAAATGTATTTGACAGAGTTTTGGACCTTAGATAAACACTGTAAGCTATTACAAAATAAACAAAACCAAGTTTTTATTTTATTTTCCATATTAAATCTGACCATTTTCTGATTGATGACTACTTGATGACCTGTAATTACTCTTTTGTAATACAGTTTGAATACCTTTCAGTCATGTTAAATCTCCCCCCCCCCCCCCCCATGAAATAAAACATGCCAGTGAACAATGAAACACGCCTCCTGGTGATTTTTAGCGTTTATTTTTCATCACAATCAACAGATATTTCATCGCAAAGATCGAGCGTCACCTCTAAGGTGAAACTGGAATCTGAGGCCAAAATTAATTTCAGTGCACAAACGAAAACAAACCGCTGCAATAAATTAGAGAAAGACCTGCCACTGTTACCATGGTGACTGGGATGGGGTCAGAGGTCATGCAGTAACAGAAAACACAGGTAACCTGTCAACATCGTAGCATTAATTTTACACATACAAATCATAAAAGTAATGTTTAAGATGTGATGTACTAATTTATCCCAACAATACAACCGCCCACTTTAGGACGTTCATTGATAAGACATCAAATCACTTTTCTGCTCAGGAAAAAGGATTTTGCAACAAATAGGATGAAGGGGGATGTTGTTCGGTTCCCAAACAAACGAGACCTGATTGGATAAAAAACATGTTTAAAACATGTGAGCTTCAGACACCTGCAAAATGATTTTAATCTCTAAGACCTTCCTGATTAAAAAAAATAATTAGAATTTAAAAAAAGGCTTGATCAGGAGAACAAATCACAGAAAACGCCACAGCAGCATGACAGACCTGATCATAGAAAAGGCGACGTAAAGAAGGCATAAAGGGAAGTTAATGTTAAGAGGGTAAATTTATACACCATCTAAAAATTTCTTCACATTTCATAACGTACTTTTCAGAGTGCCTCAAGTACAACAGTTTTTAATTTTACCACAATATTCACATGCACATGTGCATTCTGAAGGAGGTATTGATTGCTGTGATCATTTTGTGATCAAACATCAGGTTTTCTTTAGTTCACTCAGCAGGAAAACAATTATTTGTTAAAGATGTATCAAACTGCAGTTTATTACACATCCAATTAAGTTGATTAAAGCTGTCAAATAAACAAAGTGTAAACACAAAATGATTTTTCCTGACACTTTACAGAATATTAGAAAAAGTAGTTCCAGACCAATACATGTAAGTTGCTATTGAAACCTTAAAGAAACCCCAGTACAAAAGCAAACACTGAGGTTTATTTTAACAATGTTCACAGCAGAAGTTAGAAAACACATTTTCTGCTAGAAATATTAGTTTGACGTTCTGTTGGGGGAAAGACCGCAACACAAAAGGTGTTTGTTTTTTTTACACCAGGAAGACTTCAGTAGGCGCTAAAGAGCAAGGCATCAATACCTCTTTCAAACCTTTGAAGTACACGTGAATATTAAAATAAACAAAATATTATTTTCTGTTAAAGGCAGGCAAACCCATGTCAAACTTTGAGACTCTGAGGTGAACTCTGTGGTCAGTTTAGCTGCCTAAATACAACAATGTCCGCTTGGCTCAAAGTGAACTGAGAAGTGGGACAGGAAGTGATGAAGACATCGGCACAAAGAACTCATTCGATCTCACTATGAACCGTCAACAAACTGGAGACGTCCAGAAATAATAATCCAGCACGAGTGTCGAGTTGAAATGAACGTGAAAACATTTGCAGAGAGAAACGTGATTCCTGAATACGGTCCATGAGAGCGCATGGAAAAAAGTTGGCAGCAAGACGGGATCTGACATCATCGTTTGTGTGTCCAGATGAAGGAAATGGAAGTGATTGTGCTGATCGTAATGAGCACAGACAGCAGCTCGGTCCGGCTTCTTGTTCTTCCTGACTTGAGTGTCTGGATTAGAGGGACGAGGTACAGTCGGGTCTGGGAAACACAAAGCTTTAGTGGACCTTGGCTTTTGTCTGGGTGATTCTACGGATGACGCTGTAGAGGACTCCAAAGTTCTGCAGCGAGACAATAAAAACAGATTTGTGTTTCTGTTCGATCATTTCTGTGACTCTGCTGTGTTCAGCTTACTGAGACTTTGGTTTGAAAAGTAAAGTGAAACTCAATTCATGAACTTGATTGGAGAATCCTTGAAAGGAAGTGCAACTAACCTGGATCGCCACGTACATCATCCCTAAGTAGGCCGCGATGCAAACAGCCAGCAGCAGGTCAAAAATAGCCGGCTTCACTCTGAGAGGGAAAGAAGACAAAAAAGTGGAGCTTTAAAAGAAAATCTGTCCCATCTTAAAACATTACTTCAAAATGAAGAGGGCAGGTGTCAAAACATGCACTGAAGATGAATATCCACACTTTACTTCCTCTCATTTAGTGTACGAACATAACAAAAAGCCCATTATGTCTCAAATTGGTACAAAATGCTGCAGAAATTCTCCAAACATGAAAATAAGGTCATAAGATTCACTGGTTTCCAGTTTCTTTAACATTTTATCTTAAAGTCTTCAAATGGTCAAACTGCTCAGTATATTTCTGACATCAACTCGACCCTCGGGTCATGTAATCAGATTATTAGGAGTTCTTCAGGCCCGATTTAAAAGGCGAGTGGATCACACCTCAACGTTTCAACCAATCACACCTGAGCTGTGAAATGAACGTCTAAAGTCTGTGCTTTTTGCATTAAAATATTACCCGACACCCAAAAACACATCTGGACATCATTTTTGTTGTTACAAGAGGTTGTCATTTCAGCAGTGCATGAATACAGCATCACTTAAATTTGAGTTATTGCTCAGCCTAACCTGATAAAAACCAAACACGAAGAAGCATTTTCTGAAACCTCACCTGTAAGCGTTCATCGTCTGCTTCAGCTGGTCGTAGAAAACAAACTCTGGATCTCTAAAGAGAAGAACATGGAAAACATCATGATTAGCAAATTAATCTGCATGTTAGATCCCCTTTATAGGCATTCAATTTAAAGTTTGTAATAGCAAGCTTATTCCTACAAGATGCTTACAAAATAAAACATTTCTAATTTTATTTATAGTATAACTTTTTTGTTTTTACCTTTTGTCAGCTTTAACGTAGTGTCTTTTGACATCCTTGAGGTAACGTCCAAGGTGATACTCCAGAGTGGAGACGAAGCTGCTGTCTTTGTCCACCAGCTGAGCAGCTCGAGGTTGAACTGTGAGCCAATCGACCACCGCTGACAGATGCTCCTCCTGCACCTGCTGACGGGAACCGTAAAACAACCGAAACACGTGAGCAAAACCTCAGAAAGTCATCAGGGAAAAATGAATTTATTACAGCTAAAAATATAACTGTGCACAGTTGGGTTTATATATTTTTTAAATGTCACAGCCATTAGTTTAATGTAGGTCATAAAACAAACATAAAGTCAAACAAAAGTTTATCTGTTGTTTCTGAGGAAACATTGATTAGTTTGATTAGACTCAAGACAACTTTATTAACGTACCATTTGTTCTGTGAAAATCTGCAGATCTTCAGGCGCTCCCTTTGCAGAAAAGTAAGAACTCTATTAAAACACGGTCAATTAAAAGACAAAAACATTCTAGTGTCATGGCATTTGTTTATACCTTTTCTGTGAGGTTGTAGATAACCCTGGCCAAGGCCTCTGCTACCACTTTGGTGTTCCTGCCTAGCTTACTAACATCTACATGAGGCCTGCAAGAAACAACACAAGTCCTTAAGGTGGGCAGAACTGAGACGACGCTGCAATAAAACCTGAGGAACATAGAAGAGCGCAATTTCCATGCAGGTAGGCAGAAATTAAAAATGCTTGAGACCATTTAGGAGGTAGACGGAAACAAATTCCCGAAAAAGAAAACACAAAACAAGAGAGCGCCACACTGTGGAGCCACAAAAGTCCAAACTGAACACATTCATTACTGCAGCTGCACAAGGGACAAGTTACACATTAGTTTGATGAGGTGTAAAGACAACAGCTGGCAGCTAAAACAGAAACTCTTCAGGGTTACTGAAGTGGCGTGCAGCAATGAACCCACCCAGCAGGGGGCTCTCCCGCTCCATGGCGAGAGGAGGGGGACACTGACCGCACGTCCATGATGCTGGAGCGCTGAGCTGAACGGTGCGAGGGCAGATGGGACAGAGTGAAGGCTGGCAGGCGGCGGATCCCAAAGCGCTCGTGCTCCCAGGCCAACATGTCGTCGGCCAGGTTGATCTTCTTGTGGACCATGGAGAACTTCACCTCTGGGTACTGACTATTAACCACCTGGGAGGAAGCAGCACAACAAATACAACTCAAGAACTGCAGTCATATTACCTGGTCAAGATGTGACGATCTGACACATGTTCTAGTTGAACAGGAAAGACGACAAAAAACAAGAGAATTCTGGGAAAAACTATCACCTTATATTACAGCGGCCAACAGGTACAAACGCGCCGCAAACAGCTAAACGCACAGCAAACACATGAATGATGCAAACTCCAAAACAAAAAGCTAAATGTAACAGAAAAACGGTGCAAAAGAAAAATTATACAATCGCAGAAAAATAGAAGAAAAAATATACAACCAACAAAACGAATACAAAAGGAAAACTGCTGCAAATACACAAAACACTAACAAAGAAACAACAACAACTGCAAACTCACTCCAAAAAACAAAACTGTGCTAGACCAGGCCAAGTCATATGGGACCAGACCCCCTGTAAAAACATTATATAACTGAGCCACTGGCCAAAAAGTGGTTTATTTTAGGAGTTTAATGTACACCGAGTACTTAAAGCTACAACCCATTTTATTTTAAAGAGAAATGTTTTCTGACTATTTTAAGCCTGTTGTACAAAAATCAGAGCACCGGGGCTGTAATTGTCTTGAGGATGGTACCCCCAATAATTTATGGCAGAATCCTAAATATCAATGTTTGCGCTATGTACAGCACCAAGAATATCTAAAAGACATTTTCTGTCCTAATGTATCCAAAATATATTGGCATTAAGGTTGTATTTTTATTTCATAAAGATTAGTGAACTTGGTTGAAAATATTTATAAAAATGGCCACAAATTGTTTTAAAAACTACTATTTTGTAAACCGCTTGACTTTTTATACTTAACCAAACACTAATATCAGTAATACACATACTATACACTAACATTACTGGAAGTATTTCTACTTTACAGTGGTAGGTTTTGGAAATGTGCTCGTTTTTACTACCCCACCCCCTAATTCCAAAACATTTCATGTTCTAATGCTTTCTTTTTCATATTTATCTAAGTATACTGTCTCAGGTTTTCTTATTAAATAGTAAATTACATGATTTAAAGCCATTGTCTAACCAATGCTTAACTTTCTGCCTTACTTTACCTTTAACAGTAGCTACTTTTAGTTTCCTTACATTACCAAAACCTCTCTTTGATGGAGCAGAGTTTGCAGCGTTTCTTACTTGCAGTTGTTTTGGTGTTTTTAGTATCTGCAGCCATTTGTCCGTTGCATTTGTTTTGTTTGTTACATGTTTATTCTATTTTATGCGACTGCAGAATTGTTTTCACTTGCAGTGTTTTTCTTTTGCATTTGCGTCATTCATGTGTTTGCAGCTGTCCGCCACCGTATTATAAACTGTTCTGCGTGTGCATTTTGATCATTTCATTTCTACTTATTAAAACTCAAAACCTTCTTTTGCAGCATTACAGTTAAACAGACTTGTCTCTACAGGTTACAGGATTACTAAAACATCCAGCACAAAGTAACAATGTTTATCTATTTTGTCAGTAACTTAAATCTAATCCTTATTAAACGTAATGCGACATAATCCAGTATCAGGGCTCTTACACTCTCCAGTTCTTTGAGCAGAGAATACTGAGGGGTTCCCTCTTTCGGGGGTTTGGACACATGAAGGTAGAGAGAGTCACCGTTCCCCAGAGTGTCCAGACACAAAACAAATGCTACGTTGTCCTGCAGCAGGCTGGAGTCTGTTGATGGAAGAGAAGTCAGTAAAAACAGGCGTTAGATGCATTGAAACAGAATCTGTACAGATAATGATAAAACACACATACTGTAGTGTTTTTATTGTATGACTTGGCCCTACTTTCCAGAGAGAAATTCAGTTTATCTGAATACATTTGTCTTCAGCTGTAAGACTGATCTGCATGTTAATAATATTCCACAACCACATAAAATGTGTATTTAAAAAATAAACAAAGAGCCCAATCCAAACTAATAAATTAAATCCTCTGATGGTTGAGTATTAAGACTACTGCACCCGTGTGGTCCAAGTTGTCCTCCAGCCAACGTTTGGTCCCCTGGTAATTAAACTTTCCTCCACCAGATACGAAGAATAACAGATTGTACCTGAAAACACAGTTCATACATGACAAATCAAGAAGATGTCTGTGTCAGCAGTAAATAAATCAAGGTGGTCTTAAAAATGAGTCGAGCACTGCTAAACAAAAACAAAAAAACTCAGCATGAGCAAACATCTTTTGGTCCCAAACTATGAAGAGCTATTAAAAACATCTATATTTCTCATGAAAACAGTATTAGGAAAATTATTTTGTAACTATCAAGTAAAAAAGTTAAAAAGAGAGGCTTGTTGGTTTCTTGTCAGATTATAAATCGTCAATTTGGCTGAAGAAATAACATCAAATGCTGATATCAGAATTGAGTCAGTTCAGAGTAGTCAAAGAGAAACACATTTTTCATTTTATTACTAACACATATACAGTATTTCATCAATGCTATGAAATGTACACAAATCAGGTCCCAAACTAAATATTTAAACCAAACAAAGACAGAAAGTGCTTGGAAAGTGTGTATGTATATGTATATATGTATATATGTATGTATGTATGTATGTATATGTATATATGTATGTATGTATATATATGTATGTATATGTATGTATGTATATATATGTATGTATGTATGTATGTATGTATGTATATA